GCTGAAGTGATGAATAAAAACGCAAGGCTGTTAAAAAGAGGTTGAGCAAATGTTAGTTTTCTAATTTTCCATGAGTAACATTAGTTGTTCTGTGGAATGTTTTTATTTGAAGTTTCTTGAGCCAGACTGACTCCCTTCTGGCCTAACGGGGAGAGAGGTGTGTCGGGAAGTACATGTGCTGTATCAGGTTGACATTAGGCCGAAATTTGTTTCCAGTCATTTCCAACATGGCCGTGTATCGTTCTGCTTGATTATTTCCATTGGTGAGAAGACTGTGTGGCTCGTTTGCATATGCTCCGTGTAATCAGAACGAGCCAAGTTTGCTTGTGTTTAAAGGATTTGGCTTCTTGAAGTTTGTTCTCGTGCAGACCCACAGGGGGATTTGTCCCAGACCTCCCATTTACAATCGCAGGCGTTCTGTGAATAATCTGATACGGAATGAGTACAGAATAGACTCCTTTGTTTGCCAGACAGGTGAGAGCTCTACTTTCTCTTGTTGCTGAAAATCTGGGCCAGAAAAATGACTAGCGTTACATGAGTACTAAATTAACCTCATTCCTTTGTAATCGTTACCCTCATAATGATTTCACTGAAAATCCAAGAATAACAAGAGGGAATCCCCCAACCCCCAGCCCCGCACACACTAAGGTACTGAGAAATTGGGAAGTGTTTTTATAATGTGAATAATCCAACAACTGTGTGGCAGTTTTCAATTTTCTGAAGTTTTGTCATGAACACTATCTCTCACAAAAACCAAGTAAGATTGGTAGAGCAATTATTCCCCTTAGGTAAATGAGGAGATGGAGGTCAGAGAGGTTGTTTCCTGATTAAGGTTATTTAGAATTCCTAGCCCAAAGTTTTTATCTCTGAATCCTTTTCTACTCTAAGGGTAAGGGCTAAAACATCAAGTGACTGAGTTGTAGTAGGTACTAGAGGAGATAACTTCCTTTGTTCTTTCATTTACGGTTTACAACAACCCTATGAAATAGGTATTACACTTCTCATTTTACAGATGGGTTTGCTCAGAGAGGCTTAGTGCCTACTGAAGGTTGCACAGATGATGACAAGGGCAGTCTTCAGAAGTTTCTGACTCTAAGATGCATAGTTCCTTTAATCTGTTCTATCGTCTCTCAAGAGTCCACATAGAGAGATAGATCTCCGATACACAGACGATCTATTCTGTATCTATTATATTCCTGGTATAGAAGATCTATCAATCTGTTAGGCACTGTGGTAAGCACTTTTCCATGTGATCACTTTCTCTCTGTCCATCCGCCCATAGACATGCAGACAGTCATTACAAAAGGACCCAAGAATAGTTCCTAGGATGAGAACTACCAGAATGGCCTCCAGAGATGCCTGGGTTATGTGTCACTTGCCACTGTATAAAGTGCTTGTAGGGAGTGCAAAAGCGACATGTGTGGCAAAGCTTCCTACCCCGCCACTCAGACCTCCCTCATCCTCCCCACCTTTGTGAAACCAGGGGAGGAGTCCCAGCTTTTGAATTACTAGCTGCATATCCTGGGGCAGGTTACATAACCACTCTGTCCCCTTGGCTTCCTCACCTGTAAAAATGGGCATAAGGATGGTGCCTGCCTCATATGGAGTTGGTTGTGAGGATAAAATTAATGAGTTAATGAAAAGTACTTCCAACAGTACCTGGCCCATATTAATAATAATAGCTAACATCATTTTGTTCTAGAAGACACTCAGTAAATATTAAACCTGTTATTTTTATTATATTCAATAAGCAGATTTTACTCCTCTGAGTATTAACCATCTCTGAGGATTAACCCACGGCACAGCCCCAACACGCAGGTCTTGGCTCCCCCTCCTACTTTGTGTGTCGAGTCTGCTTGTAGGGAGAAGGCGGTGTGATTTAGTTACTACTATATTTCATTGAATGACAAGTTCCCAAAGCAGGTGTGTACAAGCAAAAACTCTGTATGGTATATTCTCATTTTTTTTAAATAATTTTTTTATTTTTTTTAATAAACATATAATGTATTATTAGCCCCAGGGGTACAGGTCTGTGAATCGCCAGGTTTACACACTTCACAGTACTCACCATAGCACATACCCTCCCCAATGTCTATAACCCCACCACCCTCTTCCTACCTGCCTCCCCCTGGCAACCCTCAGTTTGTTTTGTGAGATTAAGAGTCTCTTATGGTTTGTCTCCTTCCTGATCCCATCTTGTTTCATTTATTCTTTTCCTACCCCCCAAACCCCCCACATTACATCTCCACTTCCTCATATCAGGGAGATCGTATGAAAGTTGTCTTTCTCCAATTGACTTATTTTGCTAAGCATAATACCCTCTAGTTCCATCCATGTCATCGCAAATGGCAAGATTTCATTTCTTTTGATGGCTGCATAGTATTCTATTTTGTGTGTGTGTGTGTGTGTGTGTGTGTGTGTGTGTGTGTAATATTTTCTTTATCCATTCATCTGTTGATGGACATCTAGGTTCTTTCCATAGTTTGGCTTTTGTGGACATTGTTGCTATAAACATTCGGGTGCACGTGCCCCTTTGGATCACTACGTTTGTATCTTTAGGGTAAATACCCAGTAGTGCAATTGCTGGGTCATAGGGTAGCTCTATTTTCAACTTTTTGAGGAACCTCCATGCTCTTTTCCAGAGTGGTTGCACCAGCTTGCATTCCCACCAACAGTGTAGGAGGGTTCCCCTTTCTCCGTATCCTCACCAGCACCTGTCATTTCCTAACTTGTTAATTTTAGCCATTCTGACTGGTGTGAGGTGGTGTCTCATTGTGGTTTTGATTTGTATTTCCCTGATGCCGAGTGATGGTGAGCACTTTTTCATGTGTCTGTTGGCCATCTGGATGTCTTCTTTGCAGAAATGTCTGTTATGTCTTCTGCCCATTTCTTGATTGGATTATTTGTTCTTTGGGTGTTGAGTTTGCTAAGCTCTTTATAAATTTTGGATAATAGCCCTTTATCTGATATGTCATTTGAAAATATCTTCTCCCATTCTGTCAGTTGTTTTTGGTTTTGTTAACTGTTTCCTTTGCTGTGCAAAAGCTTTTGATCTTGATGAAGTCCCAATAGTTCATTTT